ATTGTAGAAGAGGCAGAGAAGGGCGAAAATGCAAATAAGACTAATGGAAAGACCTCTGTATCTAGGGGTCCTCACTAAACTGACTCTTCAGTTTGCAAAGGAGATGTGCAAAGGAAACACAATAGAAAATTGCTGCTGAGAGATGGATAATGTGAAGTACTCCAGGCTCGAGAGAAGAGGTTACGTCTTCCTTCAAGGCCCTGGAAAAAATATCCACAGGAGCCAGCTCCTGCAGCTGCGTTAACGTAGAGGCACTGCTCCCTCTGGCTTCGCTGCCTGCGTCCTGACACAGAGGCCGTCCCTGGGCGCACTGCTCTGTATGAATGGATCTGTTCTTTTAATAAGCCAAGACCTCTGCCACGGTGCATTAACCTAGTCATTCTTTAAAAAATACACGATCTGGAGTTCTCATGAAGAAATCACTTAGCACACTTGTTCCATTCCACAGAGCAGAAAACTTGTCTGAGATCAAAGCAGAAGAAGGTGCTTGAAATAGAAATAAATGAATAAAGAAGCAGTAAGTTCTGTGCAGCGTCAGCCAGATGAAACACGAGTGCTGTCTCTCCCTTCCTTCCTGGTGGTGAGACATGCAGAAAGCAGCACTCAAGGTGGGTCAAGGGGGATGGATGCAGCAAAGAGGCCTCATTAGAACATTTAGTTTAGCATTATAATTAAATATAGTGGTGTTTCCATGCTCTAAAACTTGATACAAGGAGCTCAAGAAAATCATGCTCTGGTATGTCCATCCCCATGCCCCTAGCTAATTCAAATAGGAGGTATTTTTATTAGAATAGGAGGAAGATTTCTGGAAGTTTGGACTGGCCAAGGAGTGAGGGCCAGTCTTGCCTTCTGGAATTATTTGATTAAATAAATGCCTTATGCATCAACTAGAGTGAACTGGAGACCCTTTGTAGAGCTGCTTCTTCCTGGTGCAGCCAACATGTCTTTATGTAAAACAGCACGTGCAGTGCGAAGGGGCTGACACCAGCCCTGCGCAGACACAACGAGCAGCTTGTCTGCCCACAGCAGCCACTGAATGCACGCAGTGTTCGCAGGGATACTCTATACACAGAACAGATTCTGTCTTGTGCACGCAGCCAGATGCAGAAGTAAATTTTATTTCCTTTCATTTTATGTATCTTCAGTGGCTACTTCCACTTACCTGGAATATCAGCACAATTTATTTTTTCCTAGAAGAAAAGATATGAGATCCAAATTTTATAAAAGATATATCAAAAGCTGTCATTTGGTAGCTACAGAGAATCAGTTTCCCAAATGAGAAATCTCCCTCTTGTGTCATAGAAGAGGCATCCGTATTACCTTTGGAAAAATGATGGCCGTTAAATCCTACGTAATGTAACATAAGCCTTTCTGAAGTGCTGAGAAAGCCAATTCAAACACAGAGTGCCAAAGAATAAAATAGGAACACTTAGCAACTGAAGTTGCAAATTGCCCGTCTGGAAAAGGTTCTTTTTCCAAACATCCTTTGCACTGTAGCCATTTCTTGGCTGCTCCGACCCGCTCATCCTCGCTGCTCCCTTTTGTTAGACGCGCGAGGGACCGGGGACGCACGAGCGGGAGCAGCTCCCGCGGGCGCCGCGTGGTGCCGATCCACCCGGGGCCTCTTTGTGCCCCGTGGGTGACGTGGGGACCGCGGCGCTGGCGGGAAGGGGTGTTCGCCCACGAGATGATGCCGAGAGGATTTTCCCTTATTTGCACGCTCGGTTCAGAAAGCTAAGGCTCTGTTTGCTCATGTTCTCATATTTCCGTATGATGCTTCATTCTTATTTCCCTTAGGTGTAATTGGATTTTTCTCAATAAGCAACCAAATAAAATAAGAGGTTTATTGCATTGCTTTAGTATTCATTTGTTTAAGGTTTGGAGTATTGTTTGTTTTTTAAAATCAAGGGTGCATTGTTAGCAGCAAAGTAAGACCATAACTTCTGTTTTAAAAAGACCTATGAGTTTTATGAAGCCATTTCACATTGCTCCAGAGTTTCAGGAGGAAAGAGAAAAACACTCAGTCACAAACACAAATATATTTTTATAGCAGCAAAATGCCTCAAATGAGACTATAGATCTTCTGCTAATACAGGGAGCCTTCAGAAATACACACCCACGTGCCAGCACAAACAACACAGCCATGGGGATGGATGCCACACACTGCTTAAAGAGAAAAAATATATAACTTGCAGGAGGCAGCGCTGGATCTTTTCCCAGATGGATTCTTGTTTCGACAGTGCCACAGACATGACAGATGTGCTACTTTCTAATTGTTTGTACTCAAGCTTTATCCCTCTTTTTGTGAGATTTTTGACAGAAATTGCCTGTCTTCTGGCCATTTTATTCTTTTCTTTGGCATCTGAAGTTATTCTTGGTGCTTTCTCCCTCCAGCCCAGAGTGACCGAAGGGTTTGGATGGGACTTTTTAAGGCCTCTTCTCCACTTTCAGAACCCATAAAACCTCCTTAACAGACACTTCAGAAACACTATGAAAACCTCGGAAAGAAAGAGTAAAGATTTAATTATGAAACCAGTGTGTTTAAGGGCAAGTAAATGCACAGTTAAATGAAGCTCTGGCTAACTGTGCTCGGAGCAGACGGGCACTCCCGCTCCCGCTGCGGGGGCTGCCGTGGCGCTGCGGAGCCTCTCGGAACGTTTCCCCTCCCGTCCGTGCTGCTCTGCCGCGTTTCAAGGGTGCAGTTGTTCGGTCCTCCCTGTGTTCAGACCACCTGTGGCGCCCGCTCCCTCCCGTGTTTGCTCTGCAGGGGCCGGGCTCATGGGGCCGCCTCGCCGCGGCCCCGAACAGAGGCGCTTTTGGGGCCAGATGTGCTCTGATGTAACTCGTGCGTCTGTGACCTTTCCATGCGGGATCCATCCCAGGCCAGCCTGCACAAAGCTCTCCTTTCTCCCATGTTTCCAGGCTGGGACGGGGCAGCGGGAGGAATGTTTCGGCAAAGAAATATCCGACTAGCAGACATTATCGTACAGACGATCTATGCCAATTTGGAAATGCAAAGCCTTTCTTGGCATTTTCAGATGCAATTTTTCTTTTTTTCTTTTTCTCAACAGTGCAGCAGGATCAGGCCTTGTTCTACAGCATGATACCTCCCGAGGAAAGTAGCAATGTTTGATCTGCATTTTGCAGCCAGAAGGGAGGCGACTTGCAGAGCCGCATAGGAAAGCCACGAGAAAAGCAGTGATTTGGAGGCGGGGGTTGCATGCAGTCAGTTCTACGGGCCTGAAACGGTCTCTCTAAAAGGAACAGCATTGAAATCCAGGTCTTTTGTGTAGCGCATTCTCATAATGATTCTATTGAAATGGATCTGCTCTTCCTCTGTCAATGTTTTAGCTGCATGGCTGCTAATTGCACAAGAAGTTCAGCTCGGTAGTTCTGGAGGAAACCCAGGCCCCGCTCATCCCCTCGGCTCTGCACCGCGCTGCAGTGGGTGCTCTGCGACACGGGAGGGAGCTGCAGTTCCGCAAACCACAAATGCGTTCCCAATCTGGCTCCGTTTTACACCATTCCCAGGTGGGGGTCCGGGCCGCGGCACCAGCAGCCCCGCGGGTCCCGCCGGCTCCCCCCCCCCCCCGGCCCTTTTCCGGACTCTTGTCCCAGGGGGGGGAGCCGCGGTGCTGCCCCCTCCGCGTGCCCCTGCTCAGCGTGCAAGGGAAGACGATGTCTGCCCTAAAAATCGTATTTTAGGGGTGAAAACGGAACAGTGGAGAGTGGGGAAGAGCAGGAGGCTGCGGCGGGCAGGGAAGAGCCAGCGACCTCGACGAGAAGGGCACGGGGACGCGCTCCCCTCCACGCTCAGCGGCGCTGCGGGAGTTCCAGGATTTATTAAATCTGAGGAAAAAACTCAATATCCAAACGGCGCCGTCGGGAACGCAGAGCGGGGGGAACGATGGGGCGGGGGGCGCG